AACAGAAACCACCACAATAAAGGTTTCTAAGTTTAAAAAGCATAATTCATCAGAGAGATACAAGGGCTTAAAAAAGGAAGTTGTGGGCAGTCCATATAAAATGATGATTTAGCAACAGAACTGGAAGAATCTGCAAAAAGCCGTATACCTAAGAAAAGCAAACCTGATGTGCTCCAAATTCAATGGGTTGTGTTTTCCTTTTGTTGCCCCTCAGCAGAATTGCTAGGTCACTGACACTGCAGGACTCCAAGACCGTAGGTTTTGGTCCATCAAAGAGACCGCAGTCCTTAGGAAGCCGATCAAAAGATTCCGGGAAATAATGCTGAAGCAAATCAACCACTCCAGATGCTAAACGGAGAATACCTGTAATAAGCAGAATACAGATTTTAAACTTCAGTCTGTCTCATACACTCTCGCAAACATACTTTTAAAAGATTTTGTTAGAATTTTGAAATCAAGAAATATAATGACAAAAACACTAGTCAGAGAAGAGAGAAGCTGTAAGGTCCACTTTATGTTTCTGCCATTTTGAGTGGACCTCATTCTTGGGCCTGTAAAGATCAGAAAGCATGCTACAAAGGCTTAGCAGCGTCCTTACAAAATGAAGGTCATAAATGAGAAAAAAACAAGAAAAGGAGAAGTAGTACACCAATGCTGCAAAGTCTGGTGATTTGGGGATGGGACAACAGAAATGGGTATGATTATTTGTTGAGTTTTCCTTCAAACAAATACAGTCAAAACATGCAGTAAGCATGCGTGTTCAAAAAATGACAATTTAAAAAACATTCATTCTTGGTTTTCCAGTTGGGATGTCAAAAATACAGAATTTGCATGTCAAAAAAAGCTGACCAGCTGATCTCTTAGAAAACAGGCCGCTTAAAGATGCTTTGAATTGGCCAGTAGAAAACTTCAATCATTAGTGACATCTGAAGAGCACAGGCTCAGATCATAAATAAATTTGTTACTCTACCTGAATGGGATCTGTAGTTCTGGTATAACTGATATATCCTTTTCGGTTTTCTAACACGCTGCTTCTTGTTCATGGAGTTCTTGCTTGCGTAATGAAACAGTGACCTCAGATCACTAAAACGAAAAGCAACTCCTTTCATTATGCTCTGGGCAGTGTCACCAGTTAGAAACATGGCATTAGGGTCATTGATGCATTTCATCAACAGTGCTAGCTCAGCTTGGGTGAAATCCTGTATCTCATCACCATAGAACTCATGGATGGACCATGGTAGCTCCCTGAGCTTTGAGAGTCTTTGAGATAAATTATACAGCAAATCTTCTTCATCGAAGTAACCTCTCTGCGATCGTATCTGCTGATAAAGACAAAAGAGGTGATAGATTTCACTCCTGTCTTCTGTGAAGTTCGGTGATCTCTTTCGGCCTAGCTTTTTGTACTGCTCCTCAGTAAGTTTACCCCCAGAGCAACTCAGTGCCTCAAAAGAGCCTTTCAGAAATGACTTTATTTCTTTCCAAACCAGTGCTGGATTGTACAAGCTTTTACCTTTTATCATTTTTGGCCATATTTCATTTGCAAATACATTGTAAGTCACAAAAGTCCGTGGATCACTTTCCCTAGAATATGCATCTGCAGCTCCTTCATCATCACCATGTTCTGCTTCAATATTACCTTCTTCATCCTCATCTTGCCAGTTTGGTACCACCAAGTCTTCCTGAGGACTCCAACCAACAATGGTTCTTTTAAGGCTTCCATCTTCGTTTCTTGGAAAAAATGGGTCAGGCATGGATGCATCCAGTAACAGCAACAACTGCTTGGAGGTGACAAACAGCGGAAAATTCTCATCTTTAATGTCTTGTAGCTTGTGAACATTTGGCTCCAGAGCCTTGAAGTGACTGGTTACCTTGGAAGACTTGCTAAGCTCAATGAAATTCTTCTGAACTTCTTGGCACAAGACAGGATTTTTTGTCACGAAGATCTGGTGCAGGTGCTCCAGCCTGTTTGATTCTTCTGCGCTATGCATTTGGTCTTCTTCATGGTCATCACATGAATTCATTTCTGCACCAGCTGTGCCTGCAGGAACCTTTTCATCCTCACTGTCCTCGTCTTGCTCGTCACTCACCTGCTCCTCACTTGAATCATCACTGTCCTGTTTTAGTTCTCTCTCTTCCTTCTCTAAACTAGCTTTTTCAGCTTCACTGCACTGTCTTTGCTGCCATGTTTGCCTCTCCAGCAGAGGACCATTTGCTAAGGTGGATTTTTCCCAGTATGAATAGAATTTCTTCCAAAGTCTATACAAGCAGCAAGTAGTCTTCCCTGTCCCACTTCGCCCAATTAAAATGATTGGTTCCATGGGCTTTGGATTGAGATCAATTACTGCGTACTCCAACTCCCCAACTCGGAAAGGGTATTCAACAGAAGAATGTACATCATTTATAATGTTAAGCGCCATGTTAGTACTGAAGCTGTGAAATTTAATTATATTGTATTCCAATTCTGCTGCACTGGCTGGAGGGAAATACTCAGGTATGGTATGTTCTTTTGATTTTTCCGCCTCTGGGTCTTCAACATAACAACGTGGAATGCGCTTCTGTGTTGTCACATTGTGGTTCTGATGTCCTTTGTTTAGGCCCTTGAGCTTCTTCCTCAAGATGCAGGATAAACCACGATTGTAGGAAATACATATATTATCTAAGACGCG